AGATTAGAATTGGTCTGATAAATGCCAAGCTGGGTGTGTAAATGTGGGTTGATTAGCATTTGGAGCACAGATTCCCCATCATGCAGTGCTCCCCTGCTTTCCTGATCCCAGAATTCACCGTGATCTTTGCTTCAGGCTTTCTGTTCTCCATCTTCCATGTAAATGAATTGTCATCTGGTTCCATCTCAGATGCAAGTGAGACCTAGGGCAGTTGCTCCCTTATCTGGAGGGCTTTAGGTGCGTCTCTCACTGTATCTTCATTGTCTTTCGTAATCAGTTCTTGTTTAGGTCGTCTTTAGGTGGGGGGGGGGAATTCTTTGCGAGTCAGACAGGCTGTGTCCAGTGCCAGGGTTCCCCAAGAACACGGAGCTGAGAGGCAACAGGTGGGGCTCATTTTCTGTGGCAACTAATATTAATAGAGTATGACCAGGGCAACTCGTGGGCTGGATCCGACCCTCTGAGCCATACCATCTGGCCAACAGATCCAAAAGTGTGGTGGGGTGACAAACAGCAGTGTTAATTGCCATAGTTTATCCCACCATCAAATTTCCAGCCCCATGGACCAGGTCTGGAACAGAGCTGTATTGTCTTGGCAGAAGGATGAGCAATACCTGCTGTGCTTCTAGATCTGGCCCACAGGGAGCCATGCAGTGCTCACCTGACCCATGGGACCAGATGAGCTTGACACACTCGGAGTATAAGCAAAAGAAAAAACTGTTGACAGAAAACTGTTTTAGCATGTACATCTCCTTTAAAATAGAAAGAGGTAAAGATATTTCTATTCCAGCTTGGGTTTCTGGAGTCATTTTGATAAACCCTAGGTTTTTTATCTCCTTATGCTTTCATTGTCTCATCTCTCCCATACTCACTGTTGTATCTGTGGGTTTGTTTACATGTACAGGGGTTTAATGCTGTATAGTCTACTTAAAATTAATCTGTATTAAACTTTTAAAGGTGAGGATTTATCTACCTCAAGTCATCAGGAAAGTTAGTTTCCTTTCTTTGAGGCCAATGGACTTTTTTTTTTTTAAACCCTCCTTTATCTACCTCTTTCCTTCAGGTCATTTTTCACACTATTATGGTAGAAAAGTGGCTTCAATATTCTGTCACTTAGGGTTCCTATTAGCAAGAAACACCTTGGACAGTACAAGATACTCCAGGGAATTACAGAATCCTGATGCATACTTTTGAGGATACTGTTGAGAAGTCACTTAAGACAAGAGCTTACCATAGACAATATATTCTCCCAATGTCTATTAATAGCCAAAACAGGAAAAAAAAACTGTATAAATACACATCTCATTACTTCCTGTAGGCAAAATTCAGAATCTGCTGCCTGAGAATTCTGTTGATTCACTTGCCCGGCTGGTCCTGATAAACGCACTTTACTTCAAAGGAAGCTGGGCAAAGAAATTTAAGGATGGTGTTACAAGAAAACAACCTTTCAGAATAAACAAGGTATGGGCATACCCTGCAAAATGTGGTTGGTGCAAAGGGGGTGGGGGTGGGGAGGAAATAAGCTCTTTTACTCCTTTCAAGGTTGACAGCTCTAGATATGTTAAATTATCACAGTGTAAAAGTTAATTTAAACTATAAGCAGTCCTCTTCTACATCTCCAAAAAAAACTATATCACATTGTTAGCTTGCAAGAGCCAGATGTGAAAGACATAGAAACCAGCAGTTAACGGTAGTAATCTATTCTCAGTGTACAAGATATAAACAACCTGATAAACAGTACAATTAAAATTAATTCTAGATATTTTCACTTATAAATAACATAGGCAAAAAAATATTATTATTTTTAACCTGATCCTTTAAAATTTCAGTTACCACACATGTAATGTTTGTCCTTTTGCTTGCTGCAGACTACAACAAAGCCAGCGCAGATGATGTATCAGAGAGGAAAATTTAACTGGAATTACATACAGTCTTTGCATACCCATGTCCTTGAACTTCCATACGTCAACTGTGATCTCAGCATGTTCATTCTGCTACCAAAAGACATCAGTGATGACACTACTGGCCTGCAAATGGTAAAGAACATAAGCTCTTGATCACAGTAAAAAGACTTTTTTTATATATATAAAAATTAATATTATCTCCTCGATCAGGGCTGTCCAACTTCTAAATCCCCTGGGATCACATGTTGCATGGACCATAGCAGCACACCATGCAGATGCTCCTTCCTGCCACTCTACATGCTAGTACAAGCACTGCCTACCCCAGTGCTGCCTGTACATGGACCCAATCCCCTCTCCCCCCACCCCTGGCTCAGACTGACCTGAAGAGCAGGACTCACTTGAGGGCAGGAAGCAGCAGATGGAGCAAGGAGGGGTAGCCTACGGACTTTGGCTGTTGTTGCAGCCAGAGCGATGTGGGGGGCAGGGGGGGCAATGGCAGCTGGGTGATAGCCCAGGCACCTCAGTGTAACCCCTTGTGGATTACACACAACTTGCAGGCTGCCATTCGGATAGCCCTGCCCTAGGTGTTCAAACAGCTATAGTCTGATGCTAAGTCGAACTGCTTTCTTATATTCAGAATGTGCAAACTGAATTGGTTCAGGAACAAATGAGGGTAGGCCCCAAAACTTTATGTAATTTGCAGCAAAGCTGCACCTTTTCCAGCTGTAGCTAGATTTCCATAAAACTTGTGTCTGCTTTTCATGGTATCATTCAGTCCGAGAAGCTCCAGACTCTTGCCTGATCAAAACCAGGGAGTTCTAGAAACCTTAGCAGAAAGCCAGGATCTACTGAAGTTTCTAATCCAATACAGATAGATGTGACCTAGGTGAGTTTCAAACCTAGGCCAGGTCTGTACTACAGTGGTGCTAGGAGAACGCAAGTAGTTAGTAGCTTCTACACTTACAGCAACTATGTGGAGGCAGAACCTCTCTTTCTTCCAGGACAGTATTATCAGCTCTGTAACAAAAGGCTTTTGCTACCACCCATGCCTAGGCTTTCTGCAACTCCCAACAGCAGCTTGTACCTCCCATAGTCCACTAGGCAAGGCACACCCTGCTGGCACAGCTACTATAGAGATGCTAAACAATACCACTGGCAATTTTTCTGTAGAGTCTGAGAAAGCACTAATATTAGGTTTTTCATTGTGCAATTTTCCTTTTATTAACTTACTGTAGCTTGAAAGAGACTTGACTTATGAGAAGTTAGCTGAATGGACCAACCCCAAAATGATGGAAGAAACTGAAGTGGAAATGTTTCTGCCCAGGTTCAAGATGGAAGAGGGATATAATCTCAAATCCACTTTGAGCAGCATGGGGATGCCAAATGCCTTCAGCATGGGCAAAGCAGACTTCACAGGGATGTCAGAGAGAAACGAGCTGGTTTTGTCACAAGTTTTTCACAAGTGCTTTGTAGAGATCAATGAAGAAGGCACTGAAGCAGCAACCGCCACTTCAGCTACTATGATGGCACGAAGCCTTATGTCTACTGTTCAGTTTGTTGCAGATCACCCTTTTCTCTTCTTCATCAGGCATAATAAAACCAAAAGCATCCTCTTCTTCGGGAGGTTCTGCTCTCCCTAGAAACCCAGATACCTGTTATTAAAACAGGATCTTACAGCAAAGTAGCTTAAATAAATTAATCTCAAGTTTCCAAATACTTTGAGTAATTTTTCTTCATTTTTCTGTATCTTTGGCCAATCTCTGCTGGGCTTGGGGAAGAGCTAGTACTGCACTAGACCAGGAAGTCTGATCTCCTATACATACAGTTAAAGGACCAGATCATGGTGGTGGTAGGCTATCACACAACTGCTCGGTAAAAATGTATAAATTCCTTTCTACAAAAAGCCACCAGTTGCACTCTTTTTCTAGTGCAGTTGTAAAGCAGAAAAGCAAATCTAATACAAGAAATTATGTCTGAAGAATAAAATTAAATGTCTGTAGTGGAATACAAAGATAGCATTCACATGTTGAGATAGATCCTTCAGCTGAGGCAAATTGAAACGTTTCCCTGGAAGCCAATGGAATCATCCTAGATGAGGCTCTGATCCACAGTCTTACTGTCCGAGCCATCCATGTATACCGTTCCAAAATCTACATATACATACTGCAGAGTCAAATAAAATGCAGACTGCTTGAAGATATTCTGTTTGCCCTGCTTATATCATGTCAATGGGCACAAGCTGTGCAGGAAACATCTGTGAGACAAGCAAAATAAAAGGGATTGTTGTAAGAAAAATGCCATCTGTAATAATTTAGCATTCAAATCAACAGCATGTTTTAGAGCAAAGTATTAGAAAATTATAGGGAAATTCTCCATCACAGGTGTCAAAGATATGGCTCATGGGCTGAATGCAGACCACAGAACCCCATCATTAAGCCCCTAGTGCTGCCCCTAGGTGCCATGTGGAACACATGCTGGGCAGGGCACAGAAGGCATACCACACATGGCACCTCTTCCGACCAATCCTAGGCACATGCCACCCATTCCAGAGCACACCATAGTCCTGGACTAGGTGGGGAGGCAACATGTGTGGCAGAGGTCCTGCAATGCATGCTGCATGTGGCACAGTCTGGCCAGGCCAGGCACCACTTGTCACATATGGTATCTTCTCCTGGCCAATTTGGGAACCTTTCTGCATGCGACACCCACCCTGACTGGACTACACTGCCTGCAGTACCTATTCTGATCACTCCAGGATCTGCACCACGTGTCTTGGCCAGTATGGAACACATGCTGCACACTGTGCCCACTCCAACTGCTCCAGGTCTCATGCTGCAGTGCAGCTCTCAGACCAGCTGGAGCATGTGCTGTGTGCAATGCATGTCTTGGGACAGTGGGAATGGATGCCATGTCCTGTGGAACCAGTATGAAGGGGTAAGGGAGGTCTGTGGGCCTGATCCAGCCCATGTACTAGCCCTGTGCCACACATCTGGCCCACAGGGCTTCATGAATTCAACACCCTAGGTCTAGTGCTATGTCTATTTAGAATCCCCATCTTCACAAATATGGTTGGACTGAAACATTGTTTGAGCCAGGAGTTAAAGCACTTGAAACAGAGCTTTCTGGGCAGTTTTGTAGCTTTGGGACATGCTACGAATTCAAAGAATTTGGAGGAGATGAAAAACAGCAGGGACACCAAGTAACCTGCAGATACATGTTCAAAGTATTGCCATCTATCAGCAGGCACTTCAGAAGCTCAGTTTCCTAGAGTGGGCCACACACCTGTTCTTATCTTTTTCTCTTTGGTGAGTAAACATGCAGGCTTCGTTTAGGATCCCAGTCGGCAAATAGCAAGTGTGAAATGTCATAAAATAGACAAAAACAAACACTTTCTCTTAAATATGGTCTGGTTCAGTATGCTATGATAAAACTGTATGCTAAATGTAATTCACAGTAGTCCCTATTCTGCTGTATGTCCACAAAGACGGAGGCACCCTCAGGAAAACTAGTCTTTCGTACAGCTGATAGCCTTAGATTTTCAGAATACAAGGCTAGCATATGTAGGATTGTGTCACAGGGCACCATCTTCAGGGGTAGCTGTAAAGACCCACGAGGCCAAAAAGAGTTCTGTACCCTGCTCTATGGGCAATCTGTCCTGCTCTCACCCACCATGCCTTGATGTTAATCGTTATAAATAATGAGGGAGGCTGCTCTGGTCTTATCATAATAAAAGGTTTGTGGTCAAGACTTTGAGCTGTTGCATGGCTCCATTCCACCCTATACTGCGCCCCAAGCCTCACAGGTATCATCCTCATTGAGGTTTTCTCTTACTGAGCACAACCTCTCTCTGGGCCCTCAGACCCTCTCCCCCTGCCCCCAGCTTTGCTCAACTCCACTCCGGGTTGCCAGACCCTTTGGTCTGCCAAGCGGCCCCTCAGTCTCTTATACAAAACTGCCCTGGGACACTAGGCCTCTCAGTCTCTCCATAACCCCTCTCTGGAATGCCAGGCCCCCTGTGGTCTCTTCCTCAACCCTTCTGGTCCCCCAGTTTTCCCCAGCAGCTCTCTAGGCATCTGGCTGGACCTCGCACTGTTCCCTAGCCCCTTGCAATCTCGCTCTTTCCTGGCTCTTCTTATCCCACTGTCCCTTTTTGCTCAAGCTCGTGCTTTCTGCCCACACCTAGGCACTTCACTCCTCATGGCTGTTCCCAGATGTGGCCTTGGATCCCTGCTCCTCTCTGCCTCCACCTGGGCCAATTAGCCACCCTCTCTCTATCCACACCCTGGGTGCTTCACCCATCAAGGCTACTCCCAGGTGCAGCCTTGGGGCACTGGTCCAATCCCAGCTTCTCAGGCACTCTACTCATGGATCCACTGATCCTTTCACCCTCTCTAGATCCTTGGATCCTCTGATCCCACTCCTTGGCCCCTCTCTGAACCTGCATGGTCCTACTCTTTCCTGGCCTGTCAGGGCCTCTGGACCCACATGCTTTCCCTCTTACTTTTCTGTTAGGGTGTGGTCCCTTACCCTGGAGAGGGGAAAAGCTAACCCACAAGGTAGTGGGAGCCAAGGCTTTAAAGTATTCTGTACTTGCCATGCATGGGCCACCCCAGTGAAAGGCATTTCACAAAGGGTGCCCTGCTATAGACAACCCCACCATGCTAACCAGCCCCAGTAGGGTGCACTTCTAAGTCTTACTCAGGACCAAGGTCTAAGCCATCCTGCCCTAGGCAATCCTGATGTTACACATCTGTCCTGGCTCATGGGTTTCCAGCCCCATTCATTGTCCCTCTTGGACTACAGACCTTCAGGCTCCCTGGTCTGGCTCCGGCTTCCTCTCTCCTCTGGGCCCCCTGGTCCTGGCTCAGCCCCTAGTCTCTCTGGGGTCACCTTAAGCCCCCATCTGGACTCCAGACTCCTCATTTGGTCTGCACATATTCAGCATCTCTCTAGACTCCTGGACCCCTCATCAAGTCTCCCCTACTCAGCCATTCTCTAGGCCCCTTGGATCTCCTGGAGCCCTCAATAGGTCTCTTATATCCAGCCCCTCTCTCTAGGGTCACTCAGACCTTTCACTGGGTCCTCTACATTTGGCCTCCCTTTCTTGGCTCTGGACCCTTCTTCAGGTCCCATACATTCAAACACTCACTGGGTCCCCAGGAATCTCCTCTAGCTCCTTAGTTCTTACTCCAAGCCTCCAAACTGCTTTAGGTATTACCTTTCATGTCGACTTTCCAGAGCTGCCACTATCCTGCTGAAGTGGTGCCCTTTCAGCAGGCTCCAAGATGTTACTACTGGATTTGTCTCAGAGCCTGGGCTTATACCTGCTCTCAGCCCAGCCCTCCTTCTGAGTCAGACGACTGTCTCCATCAGGCCTAGCCTCATCTGCAGGCTCCCTGGGTCAGCCGATTCCCAATTAGCCCACACCTGCTGGTGGTTTCACAGGACACCTTACCTCTTAAAATGGCATGCATCCCAAATGCTCTGCCATAAAGTTGCACATTTCAAAATCCCTTGTCCGCCATTTCTTGGCTCCATACGCATTATGAATTCTAATCTGCTTTTTTCCTTCATGAATAAGATGACTTAAAATCTATTTCAGAAGGTAGTGCAATAAGCTTGGATCATTTCATGCATTAGCACCCATTTTCCAGCTCAACATTAAAATAAAGAGCATGGTAGATGACAGACTGCTATTATTATTCTTCAGAAGGAGATACAGACCACAGACTGCTTTGGTTTAGAGAAAAAAAATCCTACATGGGAATGTTGGACCATAGGAAAACATTCTTCTGCAAGCCCATTATGAGAATCTCACATAATTCAATTAAGGTTCTAGTATTGTTCACTGCTGGAGACCATGTTAGATTGAATAGGTCTGAGCCGACATTCTGCTTCTTTCACCCTACAGCATCTTTGCAGACACTTGGAGCAGTACAGCACTGTTATTTATTCCTGGTCCAGCACTTAAGCCCAGCTCAATCATGTCCTTGTGCAAGATGTCCAATCAGCTAGTCAGTGTTTGGCCTCTAAAGCTGAACTCACTGTGGTCATGTTTGCAAAATGTCCTTTGACATGACGTCATTTGTCTTTGACAGCATTTCCACCCTTTAACCTTTTCAATTGTACTCAATCCAGTACTTTAGTTGTTCATCCTGCTCTTTAAGACTTTTAAATTTGTCTTGGAGTCATTCCACTTCATACCTGCCCAGCTTTTGAAGGGCTCTCATCTCAACCACCTCCATTCTTCCGATCTCCACTCTCCCATTTCAGGGAGCTGCTTCCCTTCCACAAAGTGTTGTTGAGGGATGTCTGCACTGTAGCAGCAGCAGCAGCAGCAGCATGTTCCAGCTGGGAAGTTCTTGAATACACGCATCTGCTCCCACTCCCATACCTGGGAATGCACTGTTTAGGCCATTCTAGGATCATCCTTAGGAGGTCACTATCAAGTACACCAGAGGCTTAAGAGAAACACCTTCAAGAGACCTCACTAGCCAATTTTTACTTTTGGAGTATGTGATCAGGAATGAGGTATGCTGGAGAACATCTTAGGTCGGACATGTTGCTATCATTGTGGTTTGAACTTATGCTTAGTTTCCAAAAGCAGGGCTACAGTGATGTTGCTATGATGGTCCAGGAAACAGAAGAAGAGGTTAGGATTTTTAGTTATAGTTGGAAAAAATTTGGGGCATCAGGTGTCAGCTTAGACTTGATGCCCAAAAGCTTGTCCAACAGCTCTCCCAACTATATAGCTGATCCAGTACAAGATATCACTGAAAAAATCCTCACCTTATTACAAGTAGTGTTTCTATCAGTCCATAAAGTCATGAGTTGCACTCTAGCACTTGATGCTAACACATCTCATTTTATACTCGTTCTTGATGATCTTGAGTTTCCAAATACTTCAAGTATTTTTTCTTCATTTTCCTGTACCTTAGGCCAATCTCTGCTAGGCTTGGAGAAGAGCCAGTAGTGCAACAGATCAGGAAGTGCTGATCAAGGGTCTTGCGCACACAGAAGGATGTAGGACTTCACTGCTTCTGAATTTCAACATTTTATCCGTTGTTTCTTTTCTGAGGAATAGCCACTTCATCCACTCGATGTAGTCAATCTGGTCTTTCAATAAAAAAACAATTTTTTTTCAATTAACAAAAAGAGCTAGCCAAGAGTAACCTACTTAATTCAATGTTTTACCAGTTGTGTGAAGTTTACCACTTTATATTTAGGAGCTTATTCCATATCATTTATTGTTATGCCCTCCAAACCATCTAACATTCTAAAAGTCCAATTTAAGAACACGATAAAAAGCCATAGCGATTCCATGCCCCGCTGTCTTATACCAAACATTCGTTTAAACCGACTGCTTTGTTTTCCAACAGTTAATATAGAACCAAGAGAGTCTTTGTATATAGCTTTTAAAATGACATATCTTATCTGGAATGCTGTATGGGTCAGGAGCCATAACAGGCACCCTGGTTGCCCAAGTGAGACAGCAAGGTCCATAATTAAGCCCACTTTTGGAAATAGCCTGAGACAAGTTTTGTTGAAAAGCCTGCAAAGTGCCAACAATCCTAGTTTTGGACATTTCTACTCTTGACCCAAGATCCTGGGTTCCAAACCCTGGATCTTAGTCTCGGACTTCCATACCTGATTTCATTTCCCCTCCCCAAAGCCTGTGCAATTCCAATTTCAAATCTTTGCTCTTGTCATCAGGTCTGGCTGCCATGTCCTGATAATGTAACAATACAGTTTGTGACTTTCCATAATGCTTCTCTTAAAAAAAAAACAAAACGCAAATCAAATGCCTTTACAAAATCAATTAAACAATTAACATTTTTAATCCCCATTCTTAGTTTTATCTTTTTATCAGGAGTCTCAGCCTAAGTACCTGATCAATGCAATTTTGGCCTAATCTGAAGCCATGATCTGTTGACAGTTACTTTCAATAGTTTGCCAGTATTGACAATAAACTTCTTACTATATTTTCTCACATGAATAAGATTTCCTTCTTTCAAGATCTGAAAAACAATTGGTCCTGATCCTATTCCATCTATTAAATGCCTACGTGGATTTAGGTGCCCAAGTGCGACCCTATTCTAACTTGCTTGAGCAACTATAAAAATTATTAAGTGCTTATATCATTGCCTGACTGTTTTCATACAACTCAAAAGATTTTTACTATATTGTTTATCTTAACTATTGCTCTTCTTCTTTCCAAAAACTTAAGTTTGTCTATCTTTTGTGATTTCTTCACTACCTTATGTAATGCTGTTAATTCTTCCATTTTCCCAGCAGCCTTGGATCACTGATGCTTCTCTTGTCAGAGGAAAGACATAGGTTTCTTTCGCCTGCTGTAAACTTAAATATTCATTCCATTTAATTTGAATTGGTTTGTCACTGGCAGTGAAGAAAAGCTATGATGGACAGCCTGAACATCAGTCCTAAGAGTGAATCACTTAATTTTACTGTCCTTGTAAGTACAAACCCAATAATATTAGTGTTTAAATTCATTTTCTCCATCTCCAAGATGGCAACCCAGAAAGCAAAGAGCACATCAACAATCCAGACAAATATTACAACATAAAATTTTGGCAAATGATGGGGAGGTGGGGAAACAGAGGGTGGTTAGAAAGGGAGGTACAAACTATTTATATTTCCAAATTATGCATTGCCTAAAATAGGCACAGAACCTGACAGAAGACAAACAAATTCTTCTTTAACTCAGGAACTCAAGGTAGTGCGAGTATTTCAATAGACCCAATTCATAGAATCATAGAAGTAGGGTCGGAAGGGACCTTGTAGATCTTCAAGTCCAACGCCCCGCCTGGGCGGGAGAAAAAAACTGGACTCAAATGACTCTAGCCAGGTAGGCATCAAGCCTCTTCTTAAAGACCCCCAGGGTAGGGGTCAGCACCACTTCCCTTGGAAGTTGGTTCCAGCTCTTAGCCACCCTAACTGTGAAGTAGTTCTTGCGGATGTCTAATCTAAACCTACTCTCCAATAATCTGTGTCCATTGTTCCTTGTCATGCCAGGGGGTGCTAGGGGAAACAGCGTCTCCCCTAAACCCTTCTGGTCCCCTCTAATGAGTTTAATGAGTCACCAGGTCCCCCCTCAGCCTTCTCTTGTGAAGGCTGAACAGGTTTAGGTCCTGCAGTCTTTCATTGTAGGGTCTGCCCTGTAGTCCCCGGCTCATGCGGGTGGCCCTCCTCTGGACCCTTTCAATGTTGTCCACATCCCTCCTGAAGTGGGGCGCACAGAACTGGATGCAGTACTCCAGCTGTGGCCTGACCAGCCTCGCATAGAGGGGGAGGATCACCTCCCTGGCTCTACTTGAGATGCACCTGTGGATGCACGACAAGGTCCGGTTAGCCCTGCCAACCATGACCTCGCATTGTTGGCCCATGTTCATCTTGGAGTCAATAATGACTCCAAGATCCCTTTCTGCCTCCATGCTCTCAAGAATTAGCTTTGATGGAATTTTTTTTATTTAGGCCCTGCAAGATAAAGGCAAACAAGTGTCATTGCCTGCATTAAACCAGAGACTGCTAGTTTTTCCTCAGAAGGTATGCTTGGAGTTTAGTTCTTAGAAATCATGTGGCTAAAAAAAAGATGCTGATATATGCAAATTTAAGGGAGAAAGAATTTTCTTGAGCAGGTGACATTTTACTTGTTAAAGTCCTAAATAGGATAAATTAGCATTATCAGATAAATCTCTGCAGACGACATTTTTCCTGTGACATGACACAGCCCAGGTTAGTGTCCTGGAGACTAAAATGGCTGCAACTAGGGGAATCAATCAATCTGCTGTACAGCCTATCAGTCAGATATATTCAAAATAAGTCTGGAATCATTGCTACCGAGCTAAGTTTTCCAGGCCTTCTAAGAAAAAGTATTTTGTCATGATACAAAGATGCAACAAGCTAGAAACCAGGGCAAAGACTTGGTTTCATTAATGTCAATAGGAATTTGGTCTTTAAATCCAACACCAGGATTTCATTCCAAATCCACTCCAAACTCTGACATCCTTATTGAAACAAAAAGAGTAACTCACTCCTTGAATAGGACTCTACCTGACATAAGATATTATTTGGTGTCAGAAGAGGCCTTTGAAATCAAATGGCCTCTGTTAAGAGCAAGGTACCCTTACTGTAGTCTCGGTGTAGATATTACAAATCTAAATCCTAGTATTTATTTAGGGATAAATTCACAAAGGGCAGTAACAAAAAAAGTGACTTTTTTGTGCAATCAGCCTCCAGAAAGTGCTCTACAGTTATTCCCCAATAGAAGGGCATGGCTGCAGAGTGCTTTAAAAAAAAAAAAGTGGCCAATCATGCAACAAATTCAGAAAATTCTGTCAACCTCTCATGTGATTGGGGCTAGGCCAATACCCCCCAGCATCACCCCCAGTGCTGTCTGCAGGAAAGGAGGAAGAAAGATGTAGGCTGGGGTTTGCCCAGCCTCAGCTGGAGGTGGGGACGGTGAGTGGATTGGAGCCACACCACCTCATGCCCCCCTCCAGTCTCCTCCACCTCAGGCTGAACAAACCCTAGCCTGCCTCCCTCCCTCCCTGCAAATAGCCTAGCCCAAATCCCATAAGGGATTGACAAATTCCCCAAGGTGCTCTACTTCAGAGCACCGTCATCTAATCCCTCATTAGTTGAGCTAGGGTGGGGGCAGGGTTAGTGGAAAGAGGGTGCAGGCAGGCTCCTCCACTGAATCAGCTCTGAAGTGGAGCTTTCTGTAAAGTGCCATGAGTTAGAGTAGGGACCTGCATAGCTGTCAGCAACCAAAGGGAATTTGGTGTCACAGTGTAGTGCAGCATCCAATGTTTACGTTCCTTGCCACTATAGGAGAGGCCACAACCCTGAGGTGCTTAGATTCCCTCAAAAAGTCTTCAACTCTTCATACACATTGTAAAGGGTGATATCTTCTGTTGGACCAACTCTATGGTTGGAATAAAGTTAGAGAAGCTTTCAAATGTAATGCATTCTTCATCAGATCTGAGGGAAGAGTTGAATAGCTAAGAACAAGATTCACAATAGTCCTTTCTTTCAAAGCAATACTGGAAGAAAAAGTACATTTAGTCCTCTCTATAGTTCATTCCCTGGGAAGAGTGTATACCTCTTGGACACTCAATCCAGCTGCTTTGGCCTTTCCTGAGCAAGCTGGTCAGCCAAACTGCCAGTCTCTAGTGCATTTGAGTGAGTACAAATAGGGGTTGATTTTTCTAGTAGTGAATGTGAGGCTGGGAGGGGGGGTGGAGAGAGAGAGAGAGAGAGAGAGTTCCAACTCACTTTTAAATTTACGGGTAATATGCTAAAAATCCCCAATTACAATGTTCCATACATCTAGCTCAGCTGCCACAATCTCAGAGGGGCCTAAAATCTCTAAGTTCCCATTTTGGCCATAAAAGCACCCAAGACCCATGAAGATCTACTTCTGGGCATGTCCAGCAGTAAGTCAGCCTTTATGGCTCTAAGCATCTAGGAGTCTAGCTAACATACAAACTCTGTCAAGTGCTTCCAGTTAAGTGTTTTTCTCTGTGGGCATGTTAAATTAATGCACTTGAATAAACTCTGGCACAGTTCATGCCAGAGTTTATTATTCCCAGGTGCAGCAGCATTTAAATGCATGCCCAGGACCGCAGTATGTTGAGCTAGAGCAGTGCAGCCATAGCCGACAGGATGTCCCAGGGGTCAGCCTGTAAGCCAGGAGCTGCTCCATCCTGGCTCAACATGCTGCAGAGGTGCTGGCTGGGGCATGAGGGTACCACAGTGATAGGCTAGCCAGGAAGCAGCCCCCACACTGTAACACCCTTGTAGACAGTGACAGAGCTGCCTGGGGCACATATGCATTGCAGCACATTTGTGTCATGCAGTACTAGCCTATAGCAGCATTAATTAGTTTACTGCAGCCTGTAGAGCTGCATGTGGAGACAATGATATTTTACTGCAGAGCTAGTCAACTCTGCAGTGAAGCACACATGTAAATATTCCCCCCTGTGTTGCCTACAGAATCTGATCCACTGGGCCTTCTCAGAACACAAGCAATGCAACGGGCTCTGCCCCAAAAGGAAAGAAAAGGGAGGTGGTAGTTCTTCTGCCACCTATTTGTCTCCATATTCACCTGTTACAGTAGTCCCTTGAAACATTGGAGACTTGAGTTTCTCCATCTGAGGAAATACATACCTACATCTCCCACCTGCCAGAAGAGCACCCAAACTACCAAACTATTATGGGTGGGCTCTCTTCTTCCCTCACTGCCTCTTGTAAAGACTGCCATTTTAATGGATTAAATCAAAGCTTCATAGACTCAGAGAAAGAGGTAAAGAATTCACAGGGTTCTACAATGTGAAATCAGCAGGAAAAACAAAACTAAATCATAGTTGGGTAAAAGAGGAACCATTTGACCTCAAGAACTATATAAAGCTGGAGGCGTTAGTTGGTTAAAAATAACCAACTTTTTAGATGGGTATCAGGGTAGAAAGGAAGATGGGAGGCCCAAAGAGGAAAATAAGAGTTAAACCAGCATATTCAAGAGCCCTCTTAGAATCAATAGTCAAAGTTAACTACTCCAGGAAAAAGAGCAAGGGGTTTCTTCAAACCACCTACATTTTCATCTCATCTATTAGAACATCTTCGTTCAAAATAATGCAAGTTGTTTAAAGGAAAGAAGTGAGCCAAATCAGCTAGAAGAAACTTAGGGAAAATACTGACAGAATTCTTTGTATGTCTCTTTACACAAAATATACAGTATTTGTTTTATATCATATCTACACAGTTTTTTGCATGTTACATGAATATCAATAAGTCATATGGGAGCCAATACATGTCACCCCACAGCAGGTGTTCTGCCTGCAGCTCTTTACAGCGAAGAACAGAAGAGATAGTGAGAACAATGGACTCACTCTCTGCATCAAAGGCAGCTTTGCCCTTGACCTTTTCAAGAAGCTAAATGAGATTCCTAAAGGGGCAAACATTT